TATATATAGGGTTGGGTTCACGTGAGACCAGCCTGTTTTCGTGAGACCCGTGAGACCAGCATTTTACACGTAAACTTCACAGCAAAAACGCTGTGAAGGTTTAAAAAAAGTCGAACCTTCACAGCAAAAACACTGTGAATGTTTTAAAAAGTCACCTTCACAGCATTTTTGCTGTGAAGTTTACGTGTAAAATGCTGGTCTCACGGGTCTCACGAAAACAGACTGGTCTCACATGATCCCAATTCTATGTATATATATATATATACAAGTTGACTTCTGTTGACCGGGCCGGGCCTATAACCGGTTACATAATCGGTCTCGGTCCTAGAAAACGTTAAAATCCATAACCGGTTCATAACCGGCGGTCCACAACCGGTCCATACCGGTCTCGGGCCGGTGCCGGTCCCTCTCCGGTCCGGTTCCGGTCCCAGTTACGGGCCGGGCCGGGCCCATTTAGCCATCTCTAGTCATTATTATGGATTTGTTTTTAGAGTGCATTTGATACAATCGACTAAACAGAATAAAATAGGAATCATTGATCCATAACGTGGAACAGATAAAAATATAATGGAACATACTTATGTTTTATCAATATAATATCAAAATAAAATTTAATATTTCTTTTAAAACCTAAAATCTTTACATTTTATTAATTTTTTAAATTTTATTTATTCTATTTTATATTCTTTAAACTTTTAATTTACTATTTTCAAAATGTTATTTTTATAGGGTTTATAAATTTTGATTAATTTATATAGTTTATTGAATATTAATAATAATAAATTAATGTAAAGAAGGTACACAATAAAATTTGAAAATTACATGAATTTTTTATTTTGGTATTATTTTAATTGTCATGAGGATAGCTTTCTGATGAGGTATTTTGTTATATAAAATATTTATTTTATTATAATTTATTAATAAAATACATAATTAATAAAAAATATATAAACAACTCATTAGAGGTAAATTAATCATTTTATTTATTCTGTCATGTCCAGTTCTGAGATATGGACGGGATTGAGATGCAATGGTGCATTTGTTTTGTGAGATTTGATAAGATTCAGAATTAAACTAAATTCCAGTATTGTGTTGTAATACTGAGATTTTAATGAAATCCGACAACTGATGGATAAAGAAATCCCTTGGAATTGATTATCATTTCTAATACAGATCCATGGATTTCAATTATTTGCATCTCCATCTCGCCTCTTTAATCAAATGCGTTCTAATCTCTCCATCACCCCAAAATAAACAATCTATCTGTAAAACAAACAAATATTTACAAAAAACTTAAATTACATTCCAAATCTTACAAACCAAACAAGATTTAAAAATAATGAAATTCAATTCCACGATACTAAAAATCAAACGGACTAAACATTCCAAACCCTTCAACAGATTTCACATCTCTCAGTCATTCTGCCAAAATCAAACAGACCTTAAGGATTTATTTTCGATCAACCATGCATGTTCAGGTCAGCTTACACAAACCTACAATAATCCTAGGGACCTTAGAGAGTAGTCAATAAAATCTTCAATAGCATTCCAGATATCGAACCAGTAACTTTTGAATTACCAGTTAAATTAACCCGACAAGGTTTGAGGCTCTTAGGAGTTGAGAACGAAGATTGGGATCCATGGCAATACAACATCTAAAACAGATTCTCCAAAATAGAGAATCAAAATTCAAAATCTCGCATTCAGCTCTAACAACTTCTCCGTTTTGAAGATTACAAATAATTATATTATTATAATATTCCACAATTTAATAAAATATTATTTCTCTCATCTAAAATTTTAATTCCCATATTTCTTATTGGTGGAATATAATTAAAAAAAATGATTCTCTCCCGTGGTAATCATTTTTTTGGAGATTTCTCTATATTTGAAGATTTTTACAACCTCTCTCCTATTTTCTTTATTTCAGACAAAGTTTTGAAGAATCTGTAACTCAAAACCCCTAATTTTCTTCATTTTAAAGAAGCTGTTGGAGATGCTCTAACCGTTGATATTGATATATATCTACTTGCTTGGAAATGTAGGAACTAACCAACCCAACTAGTTTTTGGGCCGGGTTATGGACTTGGGCCTTTTCAATTGGGCCAATTTGGATGATTAAACTTGGTAAAAAAAAAAAACAACGTGTGTCGACGTGTTCGTTTCAAAGGTCAAAATCAATTTATTAAATTTAGTCAACAACAACAATAATTAGTTATCTTTAATTAAAATTAGTTAAGAATTGATGTGAATGTTGATACACTTAATTTCTTGGGTTTGACCGAAGGTCACTATTTTGACCACATAAATGTTTGACAATTACAAACCTTAAGGTTTAAGCATTTGAAAAAGAGTTTAATTCACCCACTACTATATGTTTTATATTAATGTATATTATATTATAAAATATTTAATAAAAATTCTTAAAAACTATTTTTTTTATACATTAAATACTGTTTATTGATACATATTATTTAAAATTCAGGATTACAAGTAATTATGCGTAAGTACAATTTATTAAAGCTCAATTTTAAATTTATGTAACTAACTACAGATAAACATAATCAAATATATGATAAACATCTCATTTTTAATATAAAAAATTTAAAATATAATTAGAATAACCATTAAATTTTAACAGAACACTTAATTATTATTTTTATAGAAAATTATATGATTAAACCGAATATAAATTACTTTGTGACTAAATCTAGTTTAAGTTATAATAAAAAATTGAATTAAAGAAATTATACATAAAACGTGAACTTTTAAATAGTTAATTTGATACTAATATCGATATATTTTTTCAAATTTTTATGAGATATTCAAATTTATATTTTATTAAAATATTTTCGCTTTATTGAAATCATATAAAATCGTGTTATTATCTCAACAGAAACATAATAAAACAAAACATTAAAATTAATATGTATCATGTTGTATCTTAAAAATACCCTTCTAGTTATCTTAAATTATTATATAATTATCTTATATTAAACTACACTTTTTTATTGAGTTCTTGAAGCTTATATAAACTATCATAAATTAAAATCCCAAAAAAAATCAAATTCAATTTTAATAGATACTTTATTTTAGATATACCAACATTAGTTGTATTAGTAAAATATTTAATACATTTCATAAAAATCTATTTAATTTATTTTAGCGTATATAGACTTGGTATCATGTGAGACCAAAGATTTTTCGTGAGACCCGTAAAACCAATTTATGTTCATTGATCAACTTTATAAGTTAATGATCTAACGGTCTAAAGTTGCACGGTGACAATTCTGTGATTATTAAAAAGTCTCGTGATAATTTTGTGATTATGAATGTTTAAATCGTAGATATAATATAAGGGTTGAGAATTGGTCTTACAGGTCTTACGAAAAACCCTTGATTTATCTAAATTTGGAGATCTTTGCAACCTCTTTTTTATTTTCTTTATTTTAGACAAAGTTTTAAAAAATCTATTACTCAAAACCCCTAATTTTCTTCATTTTAAAAAAGCTGTCGGAGATGCTAAAATCCATCGTATTGATATATATCTGCTTGCTTGGAAGTTGGAAATGTAGCAACTAACTAACCCAACTAGTTTTTGGGCCGGGTTATGGACTTGGGCCTTTTCCATTGGGCCAATTTGGATGATTGGACTTGGTTAAAAAAACTAACGTGTGTCGACGTGTTTTGTTTCAAAAGTCAAAATCAATTTATTAAATTTAGTCAACAACAACAATAATCGTTATTATAATTACATTAAAAGTAGTTAAGAATTGATGTGAATGTTGATACGCTTTCTTTCTTGGGTTTGACTGCAGGTCACTACTTTGACCACAAAAATGTTTGACAATTATAAACCTTAAGGTTTAAGCACATGATAAACAGTTTAATTCACCCTCTAATATATTTATATTATATTGTAAAGTATTTGACAACAATTTTTAAAAACAGTACTTTATGCATGTAGTATTGTATATTGATACATATTACTTAAAATTCAATATTACAAGTATGTTGTTAATAAGTACAACTTATTAAAGTTTTTTTTTTTAATTCGTGTAATTAATTATGGATAAATATAATTAAATACAAGATAAAAATCTTATTTTGAATATAAAAAATTAAAATATTATTAGGATAATCATTAAATTTTAACATAATACCTAATTATTATCTTTATAAAAATTATATTATTAAATAAAAATAAATTACTTTATTATTATATCTAAATTAAATTATAATTAAAAATTGAATTAAATAAATTACACAAAAAGTGAAAACTTTTAAATAGTTAATTTAATACTAATATCGATACATTCTTTTTTCAAATTTATATTTTGTTTCAAAATAAAAAATATTATCGTTTCCAAAACCACGTAAAACCGTATTATATTGATAAAGAAAATGAATAAAATAAAACATTAAAATGGAGATATATTGCGCGAGTACTATTCTAGTGTTATAAAAAATATCAAATTCAATTCCAATAAATACTTTATTTTAGATATTTCAACATTAATTGTATTATTAAAATATCAATATATTTAATATAATATATTTTAATTTATTTTAGCATAATACAAAAATGATCAAATTATGTGAAAAGTCACACAACTACCATCACAGTCACAACAACCACCCACCCCCACCTACACCAACGTACCCCAAGCCACCTTCATGCCACTATTATTATTGTCACAGTTACCACCTCACCACTTGACTACCACTGCCGTCGTCGTTATAGTCATTACCCACCCACGTGGGTGGCAGAAAGGGGAGGGGCCAAGGGCACTGCAAAAGATCTCAATTCTTTTAAAAGATTCAATTATAATTCCTACCAACAAAACTTGTGATAAAATTTCATTCCAATTACATTAAATTCCATTATGTGAACCAAATTTTCTCTTTGGAATTTTTAGAGAAGAAGATAAAGTATTATTGAAATAATATAAAGAAAAATATTTTGAAAATTTTGTTAAAAATATTGATATTCTGAATTTAATAATTGAATGCCACTTATATGGTTTTAACAAGTGAAATAGTGCTGGCATGACACGTGGATAATGAGCTTTCACGACAAGTCATGTAGCACAAAAGAAATTGTAAACACGGAAAACCATTTATTTGAAATTACTGTAAATATAAAAATAGAGCGAGTAAGAAATAAACAATTTGTGAAAATAGGATGAGTGGTGGCATATACCGTAATTATGCGAATAAATGAATTCTAATTCAAAGCCCTCACATTTGAACCACTTTCTAGAAGCTCACCTCAGAAATTGACTTTTCCATCCCTCCAACCCTAGCAAAGAAATGGTAAAAACCCTTCCCCACGCATTCCACCAACCAACCCCCCATATATAAATTCAAAACCCTTTTTGACAGTCGATCAAATCAAAGAAATCTAGCTAGGGGAAGAGAGATTTCGTTTGCCATGGACCAGGACAAAATTCCGTTGTTGGACATGCAGAAATTGAAGGTTTTATCGCCGTTAGGTCGAGGTGCAAAAGGTGTGGTGTTTTTGGTGCGAGATGAAGCATCTGATCATGGAGAAGGAGAATTGCTTGCTTTGAAGGTGATTTCGAGAGCTTCCATTGCCAAAAAGGTCAAGAACAAGGATAGTAATGGTAGTGAGTACAGACGAATTTGCTTGGAGCAGGAGGTGTTGCGACGATGTCAACATCCATTGCTACCCAAACTCCGTGGTGTTTTATCGACTGAGAATATTGTTGGATACGCTATTGATTATTGTCCCGGACGTGATCTGAATTATCTTCGGAAAAAGCAGACGGAGAAAATGTTTTCCGATGATCTAATCAGGTAAATTTCACGGATTCAATTAGAACTTGTGAAGTTGTGATCGTAAATCAAACGTGTATTGCATTTCGTTATTGAAAAATTTGATGCGTTTCGTTTCCGATCTAACTGTAACAGTGTCGTTTGATTCATTCCACCATTTAAGGTTTTACGCGGCGGAATTGATACTTGCATTGGAGTATCTTCACGGATTGGGGATTGTTTACAGAGATCTAAAGCCGGAAAACGTAATGATTCAGGAAAACGGACATCTAATGCTTGTCGACTTCGACCTCTCAGCTAAACTTTCACCAAAACCTCCCTCCGAACCTACACCGTCAAGAACTCCACCGTCGACGAAATCGGAGCTCTCAAAGAAGAAGAAAAAGCGATTTCCACCGTTTTACAAGTGTTGCCACCCTACTATCTCGGCGGAGGACTCGATACATCCCGAGTCAGTCAACTCAGATACTCGTTACCAGTCCGGCTCACTCTCGAAATCAAACTCATTCGTTGGAACGGAAGAATACGTCGCACCGGAGATGATACAAGGTAACGGCCATGATTACGCGGTGGACTGGTGGTGCTTGGGGGTCGTTTTGCACGAAATGCTGTACGGAACGACGCCGTTCCGTGGAATAAACAGGAAGGAAACGTTCTACCGGATTTTATCAATGACGCCGGATCTCGTCGGAGAACCAACGCCGTTGAGAGACTTGATCCGTAAATTGCTGGAGAAGGATCCGAAACAGAGATTATCGGCAGCGGAAATCAAGGGTCACGATTTCTTCAAAGGCGTTGACTGGGAAAAAGTCGCACAAATCTCGAGACCGCCGTTTATACCTGGACGGTTCGATGACGAGGGTAAAGATGTAATTAAGGAAATTGATATTGAAGATTTTGTGCAAGAGGTATTTAAGGTGAATGATGACACCATATGCGACGTCACGGTGAAGGAAAAAGACCAAAATTCTGCCAAGAATTTTTTGGTTTTCTAACTGAATTTTAATTATTTTATTATTTTATTCATTTTAATTTTTAATTTATTATAATAATGATATTAAATGGGGGATATATATAGTGTATAATGTATATCGACAAAAAGGGGTTAACTTTTGAAAATATTGTCAGAGAATTTAAGTACAAGTAATCAATGCATTAAGTGCTGTGAGTGGTTGTACAATGGAAATCAGTATGTGTCGGCGGCATCTTGGTGACTTGGATAAATGAGAGCATCTCCAACGCCTTAGATATTAATTTTCTATATAAAATATTATATTTCTTTTATATATAATTAGGATTGTTTGTTTATTTTTATTTTGTTCCATTAAGAGTTGAATCTTGTGTGGTAAAAAAAATTTGTTTCTTAAATGTTTTAAAATCTTTTGAATGATTTTGTATTATAGATTTCTCTTAACCATTAAGAGCCCTAATTTTATTGTATATAATTACCAAACAATTATATTTTATTTATATTATATCATGAAAATCTTTTAATCATTCTGCATCAAACCATTCAACAATTGTCAAAGAGTAGCCTCTTAATTCAAAGGATTCTTAAAGATAAAAATTTCAACTTCTTTCTCCTATTTTTTTATTTTGAAGAAATTTTTTATAAATTTATTGAAATAAAAATCTCTTAAATCTTCATTTGAAACAATTTTGAAAATACTCTAAGGAATCATGTTAATATGTGTTGATATTTGCACGTGTTAAATATATTTTTTTTCTTTATTAATTCAATTTTGCAATAATGTCTATTTAATGTATCGAAATTTTTTATAGCAATCCAATACGGTTGGTCCGCATTGCAGCTTCTTTTTTTGAATATTTAAACGATTTTGAACAAGGAAACTATGAATCTGGAATAAAAGATGTAATGCTGACAAATATATTTAAAATACTTTTTGGACAAATGTTCTTGTATTTTAAGTTTTTAACAAAAGGTTCAAATCATATATTTTTGTCAGAAAAAACTCAATACACTAAAATAACTGAAAATGGAATAAAATTAATAATTTAAAAACCACAAAAAGACAGACATAAGCATACAAAGTACATAACAATTTAACTGGTTTTGAAAAACAACTACAAATGGTTGGATGTCCAATTTTTTATTGAAACTGTGATTTTTTTTTTCAAGTGTAATTCCACATGATACTGGTTAAAATTTTAGAACCCACCAAGTCCTTGCGATGTGGGTTTGGTTGAGGTCGAGTGTCACAACCCTTTCACTTCTCTCATATTTGACAGTTTTGTTCGGTCGCTATGACATGCACTTCTTCTTAAATTCGGAAAAAATTGTCTACGTCATTAATGAAACCAGTAGAGACATTGCAGCCAGATCTCTCATTCACCAAGCTCATCTTAGATTATTGAAACCAACAAGAATCACTAAATAAGCATTCATATGAATCGTATATGCTATTATGTTTCAAAATAAAATCTCTATATGTCGTTTAAAACGGTACTGGAGTTATTTTCACACACACCGTACAACTAAAAGATGCATAAACAATGTTATTTCATCTCCAATAGATTATTCCCATCATCATGTTGTAAATTTCAAAATGGGAAATCTATTAGAGTTGAATGGTTCACATTAGATTCTACGATTACCACAAACTATTTAGTTGTCCCTTTAATGAGCCCATTTGTGTGTATGTATATATATTTTATGGAATTTAAGTTTTCTAAAAATACATTAATCAATTTATTAAGGGCAAGGCTAATAGCACCCATATCTTATACCAATGACACCCCTATAGTTAGATTATTATTTCACTTTTTGTTATTTTTTAATTTTTTTTTTTGTCCTGTTGTTGTCTTTTTCTTTTTTATATTAATTTTTTTAATTATCTTTTTTATAAATAGATATTATTACAAATATTATTTTTTATT